TCCGGGTGAAAATATTAGACATAAACTTCTAATTTTAATATATCACCCAAGGAATTCTTAAATCACGGATCAGGAAAACAGAAAACTTGAATGTAATAAAATGCACTTAAAAAATAAAGCTTTAAAGTTTATTAAACTGATACAATGTGTCAACAGATCTATAAACCCTTAACACACAATCTGCCAATATCAGTCCGATACAAGGACAACTCGTAAAAGCATTTCTGTGTATTGGTACACTTGATAAGTAATGGTATGTAACAAATAGACAAAAACGGGTACCCTCCAAAAAGGCAGCCAAACAAAAATCAGAACGGGTAGTTTTTGATCGCGAATTGAAGTATTCTACAAATAGAAGTCAAGAGATCTATAGGACCGATTGTCAGGTTTAAAACATAAATATCAGTCGGAGATTAACGTACGCTGTATTAGGTAACTTGTATTTCCATTTTCAGGTTACACCGATTTGCTCTATATACCCGATTTAATCAAGTATTAATCCGTTTTTAGTTCAACTTTCTATATTAGTTTTGAAGATAATTCTATTAACCCAAAGACTTTAATGGTTACCCTTAAATGTAAAAAGTGGTTCCATAATATTACTTTCATTTTTTAGTTATCCATCATAAATAATTTTTAAAACATTTAACAAATGCATATGATATGCATTGCTTTTTGAATACTAGCTATCATGTCTTTAAATCACTGTGCATTTAAATCTTGATTTGCAGTAAAATATACAATGAGCGGTTAAGATTCTTATCTCAATTAAGCTGTTGAAAAGTTATCAAAATTTGTGGCACCTAAGCATTAAACCACTTCAGTTAGTCTTAACCACCTATCTATAAATAAAAAAATCAAAGAGTTTAGAAATTTATGTGCAGAGAGTTTTCCAATTTCTTTTCAATTTTGTGGATTTTTTTGTGGAGACCATAAATCTGTGCCTTTGAAATGATGAATGCCAAATTTCAACATAGCCATCCGAGTTTGACGACTTTTCAATATGACTGAGATTTTATGGTCATGTTTATCTTATAATTTGTATCTAACAAGTCATCGTCTCAAGCCACAGTCCGGACTCCTTATATAGCGCAGAATGGGATCGAGAGGGTCCGACATTTTGGTCGTGGTTTTCGACGATGCTAACAAATAGACTACAAGGAAAGCTTGCTGGCAAAATTATATGAAAAATGGAACAAATCCTCATGACTTCTAAGGCTATATTTTGAATTCATCGTTTGGTGCATGACAGGAAACGTGCGATTCTTGTGAAGGAGAGGGTGTGTGTGTGTGTGTGTGGGGGGGGGAATACCCTAAAGAAAACACAATGTGTACCTGATAATCGACGATATTGCAAGGCATCTTTATAAAATGGATCATCTTATATAAAATGGATTAAAACTTGGACAAGTCAACTCATGATATAAAATTCGTAATTCACCAAAGAAGAAACTTTTATTACTTTTAAAATATGTTAAGCATTTGAGCATGATGTTTAATTCTCAAATACACGGCGGGTGTGATGTTCATTCCTCTATGGCAAACTTTTGGAGGGCCGTTTTGCCAATTTTTAGCTCACCTGGCCCCGCTTTTCCAAAATTTGTCTTGTCTGTCGTCGTTGTCGTTGTCGTTGTCGTTGTCGTAAACTTTTCACATTTTCATCTTCTTCTCAAGAACATAATTTGTTCAAAATGAAGGGCCAGTCATTTTAAAAAAATCTTCTTCTCATTTTCACCAAAGAAGAAACTTTCTATCACTGGGCCAGGAAAGATGAAACTCATGTGGAATCATCCTCAGGTAGTGTAGATTCAAGTTTGTTCAAATCATGACTTTTTTTAAAATATCTTTAAAAATTTGAGCCAGGAAAGATGATGTTTAATTTGTTCAAATACACGGCGGGTTTTACATAGGAATGTATAGAAAAAAATCTTTAAAAATCTTCTTCTCAAGAACCACTGGGCCAGGGAAGATGAAACTCATGTGGAATCATCCTCAGGTAGTGTAGATTCAAGTTTGTTCAAATCATGACCCCCGGGGGAAGGGTGGGGCCAAAATGGCGGATCAAAGTTTTACATGGGAGTATATAGGAAAAATCTTTAAAAATCTTCTTCTCAAGAACCACTGGGCCAGGAAAGATGAAACTCATGTGGGATCATCCTCAGGTAGTGTAGATTCAAGTTTGTTCAAATCATGACCCCCGGGGGTAGGGTGGGGCCAAAATGGTCGATCAAAGTTTTACATAGGAACATATAGGGAACCCTTTTAAAATTTTCTTTTCAAGTACTTCAAAGCCAGGCTTCGTTATATTTATAGGGAATCATCCTCAGGTAGTGTAGATTCAAGTTTGTTCAAATCATGACCCCCTTTTTAAAGTTTACTTTCAGTTTTATGTGTTTTTTTCCTACTTGCTTGAGCGATGTGGCCCCTGGGCCTCTTGTTAAAATTGTTTTATGGACTTTTGAGCTACCTTTAATACTGTTCGTTATCTCCATATATTTCATACATAAAATTATTTCTACAATATGAATTTCTATGAGGCAATTTGGGGCTTCCGATGGTTCTTTAGTCTCCATATGAGAGAAATTATGAAAGGTCGATTTTTTTTAGAGATGATGTGCGGAAAGGAACTGTAGATGTTGTCTTCATCTACTGCTTCTAACAGGATTGGATGATACATAAATTTTAATGCAGCTGATACCACGACTTACCAGGTTGAACAGCTTTAAGGCACCCTTGTAGTCCCCGGTGGCATACTTAACTAATCCGTCCTTCCGGTAAGAATTATTAAGGACTTCCGTCTTCCTTTGCTTAAGGTCCTTATTTCCGCTCATCTTGTCAGCTGCAGTTGTCAATTCAATATCATAACAACTGACACAACATTTCACCACTTCACTCTCCTACCTGTTGTGTTCATTTGTTCTCAGTATATGTACTCAATATATGTGTTTTACTTAATAACGAGCCTGGAAGCCAAATCTTTTAATCCTGCTAATCCTGGTTATGATACATTTCCAAAGAAGGTGCAAGTCTCCTATTAGATTTCCATTTTATTAAGACGGTATTGGCGGTAACTGGAGGTATTTCGGGCCAGATGCCGACTAGAGCAAATGGTATTACCAATTTTACAGCCAATATAAGATTTTTTTTTATCACAGCTAATAATCAGTCTGTATTTTCATTTGGCAAAAGGTGAATCGAAACTTTAACCTTTTTCTCACATTGGAAACATGCTGCAACCAAAAAGCTGGTTTACGTAATAACGAGAGCCCACCTGCAAAAACTTTTTATGCTTTAACGATGAGAGCCTTTTGGTTGATCCCACGTAATAACCTCGTGTTATAACAAATGTCTAATTTTTTCCTACATCATAAATGGTTAAATGATAAGTTGGTATGGTACCAAGATTCCCGTAGGAAGGTTGCCCCTGTGGAATGATTGGACATTATCTTTAACATCTGTCTCCGCCATTGTCATCAGATCACCCTTCTTATATTGAGACTATAATCTGTTGATTAATGTCAAAGGTCATATCAAATTAATGACGGATTTAAATTTCTTGCAATCATATGGCTAGATTTCTGAAATGCTTATTCAATAAATTTATGCCTGAGTCTCTTTTTTCATATGCGTTTCCCATGCTCTATTTGAGCAACGGGTATTACAGTTGAGCAGGAAGATAGCTTCTCGATATCTCACAATTTACTATAAAGCTCAATAAAAGTTTTTAAAGGTATCCGAACTTTTAATTAAAATTAATAAATCCTTCTTTTTATTATTCATAATTCCATACTTAATTTTTTTAAAAAATACATGTATATGTTTTTACTTGTCAATAATGGCCAAAATGATCACTGAAGACAAAGGCCCTTAGGCTTAAACGCTCACATGAGTTAATATAACACTGCTGTTCTTTAGAATACTTGTTCCCTCTTTATTCCAATAAAAAAAATGTAATATTAAAACTTCAACCTTAACTTGAATTATTAAAGCAAATTTGTATTAACACTTTGCAATTGCTTCAGTATCTATATATAGCCTTGACATTCAATTTTATTTAAGTGTAGATTTTTTTCCTGCATTTTTTGCGGCACTATTTTTATACAGAGGACCTTTACAGATCTAAATTTCTTTTATAAATTGTAAAATTTTGGAATGATATCAGCCTAAACAGTACCATTGTACAATTGTTAATTCATTTTAACTAATTACATATTTGCTGTATGTCAAATTTTGTCGAAATTCGTTCAACGATTCTTGAGAACATCAAAAGATTAAAGTATACAGGCAGATGTACAGACGCTTGACAAGGTCATACGTAACGTACTTTGAACTTTATTGGGTTCTTCCCTAGAGTTGAAGAGTTCCACTAAATGAAAGACCTGTGTGCAATACTTTTACTGTCTACATATGGATTTGTACAACTCTTCTCAAACGATTTTTGGTGAAAAAATTCTGGGATTTATGTTTTGTAATTTTTGTATTTTTCTTTGAATAATGCAAAAATTTACACAATTTGATATCTTTTCAAAACCCTTGGTACGTAACGCATGCTGATTTTTTGTCTAAAAACATGTAATGGTATTAGAAGTTTGAATTTAGACACTTGAAAAATTATCGGTAGGTAAAGTACTTTTCGTATTTCCTTAAGTCATAGCTCAGGTGAGCTAAATATCAATCTTTTTTTATATCAGATATTTATAATGGTAAAAAATACTGTACAGTATAACCAATCTTATTATACTTCTGTTGAAATGTTTCCTCTATAAAGTTCAGAAGGTAAAATGACTATCTTTTATAGTTCACGCAGAGCAAAGCTATGTATCATTATTTTCATGCAATTTTTGATGCCAATTTTGTTGAAAGTGCATTTGATACGTTTAGTAAAGTGTATAATATATCCACATACACTGTACCTCAAACCAATCATCACTCTATATTAGCTGATACTTGAAGGCAGGTTTTGTAAAATTAAATATATCTATTTTTCAATTGTTATTATTAATATATATACTTTTAAACAAAATATATTTAACAGTTGTAAAAATGTTAAAAATAAACCTTGGACAATATTCTTTAAAACAGAAAATATTTTGGCAGTAATAACAAGATTAAATAGCCTGAATACTGATATGGTAACAAAATCTCTCTCTCTAGTAAAGGAGATTAAAATATTTACAAATAATTCCAAATTATTAAAGTTAATTATCTTTCTTTTAATCCAGTTTGATGGTCGTCAGATGTTGGGGATAGCTGACTGCTAACTATGATACGTCTTTAGTTGGGCTCTCCTTCCCCTGGTCCTGACTTTTGTTGGCTTCATTGGTGTCATCATCTCTAAAAATAGTTATCCAAAAACATGAAATTGCTATTAAAAGCACCCCCCTTTACACAAAAAAAAAAGTAAATCTGAAATTACAATTTGAGCAAATTTGAAGAATTCAGAAATTAAACAATCTCTTACCCAGCATCCTTATCCTCGTTTGATTGCGGTTCCCCCGAACTCTTTTTATCCTCCTGATCTGTTTTCTGTTCCGTTTTCTCCTCCGATTTTGCCTCCGATTTTGCCTCAGATTTTGCCGATTTGGGACTCTCCTTGATGGAGACAGTCTTGCTTTTGACACTGGCGTTATCTTTCTCGTTGGTTGGACTAGCAGCGTTGTTAGAGGTGTCGTTTTCACCCTCTGCTGGTTTTACTGACGTTGATGAACCTTTGGCAATTTTATTGTTGACATCGTCAATTGCTTTTTTAATAGCTGCCTCTGCTGATGTATCTCCTGAAAAAATATGACGAAAAGTTTTGAAAAATTGCTTTATAATCACATACAAAATCAAAAGTTCACAGGTTCATAACTCTGTTCAGAAGACATGACTTTCTTTGGAAAAAAATTTTTTTTTCCAAAATCTACTGGATTTGATAGGCCTAGATTGGAAAAATATTTTTGCAGGACAAATCCCATTTTCTGTACCCCCTCCCCACCCTTCATTGCTGGTTGGAGTAGTTATAAGTTAGAAAGGGTTCATATAAATCTACTCACCTTGTGTTCTGGCGAGGTCTAATGATAATTCAAATGATGATAATGCAGCACTCAAATCTCCTAGTTTTACTGCAAACAGAAATTTATCAGATTAATTAAAGAATTTTAAGAATTAATTTACTGAATTTGAAAAAAAAAATCAATTATCCTCCTCACTACTCACATTCGGACTGGGCCACTAGAACTGAGGCCTGAAGCTGCCACTGTGGTTCTGACGCCTCCTCTGCTAACGCTAGCGACTTCTCTCCATGCTCCTTGGCAGTCGGATATTTTCCCATCTCCAGGTAACATCGTCCAATTTCGTGGTACAACCAGGTACTCTCCAATGCTGACTTTGATAAAGGTAATTTCTTTTCCCATCTGCATTGAATATGTTTATAATGTATTGTATAAGCATATTTTTCAAAGTTCTTTTCTAATGTTCTAGCTAAATTATGTGTGAATGAGTGGAACAGTATTCTAATCAGTTTAGTTATATATTTGTTTAAAGCTGAACACAACCTCAACCTGTAAGTAAAGCACTGGACCAAACCTACGCATTGGCTAATACCACATAACAGTAAGTAGTACTTACACTGTGATGGCCTGGCTATAGTCTCCCTTTCTAGCGTACACTCTACCAAGATTATCCAGTCCTCTAGAGCAGGCCTCCTCCATATCACTAAAACAACCAACGTGGCATATTATTTGTTTGTCTTTCAACAAGCAAATAAAAACCTATTCTAAACTTAAAACCTTTAAAAAAGCATAAAATCAACTCCAAATATAAGTCTTCAAGAAATGTTTTTAGAAATATCTTTTTGCGACTTACTGTTCTTCGCCGAGGTTGTAGTCTATCTGGTGCTGCTCCTGGGCCTTATCATAGCTGCCCAGTTCTAGGTAAGCATTTCCTATACAGCTATGCAGATTGGCGATCACCTCCATCTTGTTTGGTACGACGTCCTCTGTGAAACCACTGACTGTGTTCAGACAACGCTGGGCGCGCTTCAGACTCTCTGGATATTTACCCTCCACTTGGGCTGTAAGACATTTTTTATGAGAATCTTCACCTCCATTTCTTGTCCATCATTTCCAATTTTATCATTTACAGTATAGTTTCTTTGCAATTTTCAATGATTTACCTTGATCGATCCTTTCCAGCTCCCTGATGATGTAGTCATTCGGTGACAGTTTTCCAGTGCTGGACTGCTCGGTTCGTTTGTCTCTCCTCATAATCTGTTTCTCGTGTTTACGGGCGTACATTGGTTTCTGTTGTCTCCAGAAGTCGGTTCTGGTGTCCAGGTAGTTAAGGCCCTGGGAAACCAGTCCAGAAATGGTCTTACCCACAGGAGTGTTGGGATCTAATGACATCAAAATGTTATTTGTGATGAAGTTTTTTTGTTATTAGAATTAAAAATGTCAGACGAAATATTTCCTGTTTATAGGTGCAAAAGACTGCATCAGATGGAAAATTTAATGTCTTGCATCAGATTCTATTCAAATAGTTTCATAAATGTGCACTGACATTCTTGTTTCCTTTTGTCAAAGAACTGTTCTAAGAATTTTATTTTATTTGATGTTAGGTTTTTGAAAAGTCCCTTTAAAAGTATTAAGTAATCTGTCACCTGTTTCTTTGAGTAGTTTCTCTAGGTATTGTCTGTCCCCATACAGCTCCCCCAGTAGTTGTTTGATGGTCTTCTCATTCCCAGCAGGTCGGCTGATCTCCAGCTTCTTCTGGGTCTGCATGCCAGGCCGGCCATATGTGTTGTAGGTGGGCTTCTTTATCTTTTTCTGGAAAATTAATTACAAAATTCATTTTGCTATACAGAGTGTTATTTTCATTCATGACATCAATTTCCTTGAAATATTCCATCTAACTTCCAATATTGTTGCAAAAGAGCACAATAACAAGATGGTTAGTACATTCTTTGCTCATACAGAAGCCGTTGGATGCATGGCATCAAGAGATGTCAATACTTTTCAAAACTGTTCATGCAAATGTACAAGTATGTTTAAAGAAAAGAAGATGACTGAAGTAATGACTATTGCTCACATCATCTTGCTTTGCAAAGAATGATAAATCCCCTTCAGTTGTCAACTGCACTTTGTCTGGGGCTAAAAAAAAGAAAGGAAGTGTGGAGTAAAATATGTAGAAAACAATATTACTCACAAAATACACAGTCTTAATTATAATGCCAGGCAATAGATCTAAATGTATTTTAGAAGGCACTGGGAACAACTGTATTGGCTGATGTCAACCACTTTATAACTCTTGAAATAGGATTGTCTCTGAGATAAAATACCTCCAACAGAATTGTCAATGGCCTCCTGTGCCTTCTGTATACCCAGCCTGAATTCTTGTAGCTCTGGCCTTAGTTTGTGTCCTCTGTGATAGAAGACAAGGGACATCTCAAAATCTCCCTGGTAGTATAGGGCCTGGGCTTTCTGGTAAACTCCCTAAAAAAAACATTGTCAGGATGCATAAAGTATAGAACAGCTAAAATAATTTTGTTGGCAAAAATATAATCGTATGATTCGTGAAAATACAACGTATAATTGTTCATAAAATACTTTAATTTTTGCTGTAGACATTATGAAAAATATCATCCACTGATATGTTTTCATATAAAGGGAGATCACTTTATCCATGAACTCTGTACCTTGTGGAAAGTTTTATCCTCTGATAATGAGGCCTCTGCATCGACCAAGGCATTTTGTGTGTCCCCCAGCTGTAGGTAACATTTGGACCGACAGACCAGACAGTTCTTGTCTCCTGGCTGTAACTCTAAAGCCTGAAATATGGAAACACAGCTTGAAATTAACATTATTTGAAAAAAAAATTCTCGCAAGTGTAAACTTTATCTGTTAGTACATTTCTCAGTAATCATTTATTTTAACAAATTGATATTTTGTGGGTATAGGCTATAATTAACAACTCCTTATTTAGAGACATAAATCATATGCATGCATACTGTATAAAGTGCAATTTAAAGATCTTAATTTATTTAAAAATAGTACTAATACTAACATATCGCTTAGATAATATGAATACAAGAAAAAAAAAGCAAAAAAAAAAAAATACATTTCTTAAATATAAAATTATAAATATGTAGATCTATATTATATTTCTAATAATAAAGCTATATAATATACTTTGAGACAATTTCTAATTCTTTAGCAATATATAGGACATGAAAATAGCGACTCACGCCGACTGCATTTTCATTAATAACCCCTCGAAAGATCCCATCGTGTTATGCATATAAACAGGTGTCAGTTTTGAAATTGAATACTTACGATTGTGTAGCTATCTATAGATTTCTTGTATTCTCCCTGCTTAAAAAGTGAATCTGCTTCTGCTTTGTATATTTCAAAAGTTCCTTTAGGGCCCTCAGATTCATCGCCGTCGTACATTTTGTTCACGTTACAGCTTTCACCAACCTTCTCTCAACACCAATGTAAACTTCCGGTGAAAGTTACCTTAGCAACTGTGCACGCGCTGAATCCCTCGAATTCCGGCGCGCTCTCCAACTTTTTTTGCGTCTCTCTTATCTTTCGTATGATTTCCTTTCAAAATTTTCAGTACGCATATGTTTCTAGTTTAGGTAAAAGTTTGGATGAAATCGAATATATCTTAGTGTCTTTGCTTGATTAATCGTGTATTTTTCTTATTTTAACATGTCATACGCAGATTTTAATGAGGGGATTAAGAAAACAAAATAATTCCTCAACGACGTGATTATGTTTGGTGATTAGCCGCTTTATAATCCGCCGAGATCTGCCGCTATCCATTTAAATATAAAATCTGCTGTCGTTACGGTGTTTTAAATAAATAGTTAAATCTACAAAATATCTATGTGTACTAATTACACTTTCATTGCAGAATTTTATTTTAATTTTTTTCAGTTTTGTAATAATTTTATTTGTAACTTAATTTCAAGACGGGAAAGGTTATATACATATATTCACTTGCATGCTCCCTCTTTCAACATGCGATCAGGGTTATTAAAAAAAAAAAGTGTTTAAATTTTTTTTTTCAAATCATGTAGGTAATTTAATTTACACACTTTTCCTCTCCCTCAAACAAGAAAAAATGAAATCCTGGATTGTTAAATATATTCTTATATAAATTCCGTATATTAAATAGCAAAAACTGCCAACGTTCTTGTTGATGAGAAGATGAGTACCTGAAATTTAGTTTAAAAAAAAACAAAAAAAAAAACAGAGGTAATGTGTTTGGGATTCTTTGCAAAATTTCAATCCTCGGCTGACTCCGCTACGCTCCATACAAACTTTTCAGATTCAAAATTTCAGATGTTACATATTGACCCCTACCGTGATCTTTGCAATCATGAATTTAAGTAATTATATGAAGTGCTTCTGTTCTTTATCTAGAAAAGAAAACAATTTGTAATAAATTTTGTAATTAACAACTTCGATCCCTTATTGTCACTCAAACATAATCCAATATCCACGATCTGTCTTAACGTGAAATAGCATTAGATGGGAATGCATGCACATTGAATTTGATCATGCACTTGTAGACTTGCGTGGTGTTTTTGGAAAAAGGGTGGGGTCTATGGCACGCCAAATCCACAAAAATGAGCAAAACATAGTTTCACAGTCGATAAACTAGGTTTATCGGTTGTAAACTATAGTTTACGGACTGTAAACTATAGTTTAAACTGATAAATACAGTTTCACGATTTGTAAACTATAGTTTACAAACCGTTAACTATAGTTAACGATCTGATAAATATAGTTTCACGATTTGTGAAACTATGATTAACAACTCTTAACTATAGTTTACGATTGTAAACTATAGTTTACAAATGTGAATCTATGTTTATCAACAAAATCTATTGTTAACTCTTATTACAGACAGATAAACTTAGATTATCATTCGTAAACTATAGTTATCAACCGTTAAATATAGTTTTACAGATGAAAACTATACTTAACGAATCGTTAACTATAGTTTACGGTTTGTAAACTATAGTTTACAGTCGATAAACCTAGTTTATCAATTGTGAATCTATGATTATCTCATTTTTGTGAATTTGGCGTGCCATAGGGGTCATATATTCAAATTTCGATCCACTTCCGTCTTCATTCCTTCATTTGAAAGCATGGAAGATTCTTAATCGAATACCCCCATAAAGCATTGACTTTAACTGTGGCCCACCCAGGCCAAAATGTCATATAATTTGAAAAAGCTACAGTCTACTAGTATTCTATATGTATAATCTTCATTTTTCAAACCGGAGAGATTATTAACTAATTTAGCCCTCGCAAAGAGAAGCTTTCTTTGAATTGTGAGAATAATTTTTTTCAGCTAGGATTAATTGATATACATGCACATGTATAAAATGTTCACATTTGCCCCCGTAGGATAGGTTCCTAACAACTTTTTGAAGCATTGATTGATTAAGGCTCGTAACGGAGTTAAAGGGGATATAGAAACGAGCCTGTCAATGTGTGTGTGGGTTAGTTTGTCCTTGTGCAAAACAGAAGTGATGTAATTTGCATTGCGGTCGATGTTGAATGCTGTCTTTGCAAGGGGATGCTCCGCTTTGCGGTGCCCTTGACAGCTTAGTCTATGTCATATACAGTCCATCTGCTCTGTCCATCAATCAGAGGCGTGCTTCCGCACCACCGACAGGTTAGATCCACCCATTCAACAAACACATGGAACTCGGGAAGCACAGATACAGCCTCATTGGTGGCGAACTCTTGGTCATCTATAACATTTTTTAGCTTTCCTTTGTAAATTTCTGTTGCTATGAAAGCTACAGCTCGTTGTCGTAAGGTGAGAATGTCTAAATTGAACGATTTCATCTCTGGGTAGGTTGTCAAAGCCACATCTGTGTCACAATGAATAATAGCTTTTATCAGGAACCGCGCAGCGCATGCTGGGACAGTTCTCAGAATGCTGCAGTTTCCACGTTGTCTTATGTACATTAAAGTGGAAATGCTTAAATTTGATAAGTACCTAACTGCGTGGAGCCTCAATGTCAAGTATGCAATGAAATAAACGTTGGACAAGAGTAGGGAACGGTCCTTAGGATCTGGCGCCGCAAGTTTTGCAAACAGTCCGGAGTAACTTAAATCTAAAACGGACGGTATCCTTTGCCCATCAGTGTGACGTAGGAGTTCCCCAATTATATCAACTTTCATGATGCCTAGTTTATTTCTAAGATCTAAAATCCTTGATTGTTCTATGTGCTGGATCATATTTCTACTGGGCACAAAATAGTTCGGTATACACCTATCATCTAGAAAGGCCTCTAGTCTGGTGACAAGCTCTTTTATGCATTGGAACAAATTTTCTGAAGTCCATATTTCCAAAGGAATTTTTTCCAATGTCCAAAATAAAACGTTCTTTAACATGTACGATGTTAAGAACGAATCATCATCGTTACATAAATTCAGTTTGCAAAGAGCTTTAAAGAAGACGTAGGCCTTGATCTGGGTTATGGTAAGGCTTAAAAGTAGAATTCTCTCGCTTATTGCAAAAGAGATCCGCCATTCTAAATGTGCCTCAGAACTTAATGGATGCCCTACAGGAACAAATCCACAGCCTTGCTTTGTTGCTTTCTGGATCAGTTGAGCTGAGGGCCAGCCAGATGCTCTAGGACGGGTCAGAATTTCCGATGCCACGGAGGGCCAAGAAGGCATGGACAAACCAATGACGTAATCCAGAGAATGTACGCCTAGCTCGTCCTCAATAGCGCCGTGTAAAGCCGGGCCGTCTGTCTTGTTGGTCAAGTACATCGCAAATTTTGAACTTTTTATCGCTGTATCAAGTTTTCCTCTTAAAACCATTGGCAATAAATATTCCTCAGACTCATCTTGCTCTTTGGGATGTTCGGTTACCACACGCATTTTGACGTAACCGGGAAAAGTGTTTTCTAACAAAAAGATCGTCCCATGCTGGCCTCCAGTTTCACGATTCTCTGTAACCGTGACCCCTGTGAACTCAAACACCACATCTACGTCAGTTTCGTTGATTTGACACATGCCTTCTATCAACGGGAATGTCCTCTCCAAATAAAGTCCATCATGGGAGCTTCCCAACATAACGATGTTCGATATCCACAACTTTTCAGCTATTTTTTGTTTTGGGGCGTAGCGGGCGATAGGTTCTCGAGTATAGAGAACTTGAGCGCGGGAAGCTGTTGATAATTCCGGTAGATAGTCAGTGACCCAGTCCTGTTCCCTTTTGTCAGCTGCCAACATTCTGATATCATAAAAAGCATCTTGGTCAAGTACAATGCAGCTCAATATTTCATTTTCCATCTTAGTCATCCGTGCCTACAATTAAAAAAAAATGTTTTTTGAAACACTGATGTCCCCATATAGCAGCTTTTGGCGAAAGTTATACTAAAGTTTCGCTAATGTAAGAACTAAAAGGTCAAGATATCGAAAAAATTTTACCCAAAGAAAGAATTTGTCCATAAATAAACTTGTGAAATACGAATGCCCAAGCACATATCATTGGTGTCGGAACCGGCCGGGGGGGGGGGGGGGGGGGGGGGGGGGGGGCTAAATATTATTTTTTCAAAGATAGACATAATCTAAGCATTGTAAATTATGGCTTACCTATTTTTTTTAGCCCCCCCCCTTTCAATTTGCTTCCGACGCCTATGCGCATGCATATATGACTAAGGTTAATGAAGTTTATTTTAAATATTGGTCAAACTCCAATGTTGAATGGTCAAACTAAAGACACCTAGGGGTGGGGGTGGGGGTACATAAATTAAAGAAAAAGTTGTGATCAAGGTTAAAGTTTTTCAAAAGTAAGTAAAAATCCAAGCTCAAGAAAAAAAAATCAACATTTGAAATTTCTTTTCAAAGCGCGTTGCCACAAAGGTCTCATCACATGGAATACACCTGCATGTGAAATTATAAGAAGGCCTATAAACGGAATGGTGTTACACAACAATGAGTTTACTTGTGAAATTTGAAAGCCCAAGCACCAACTATTCAAAAGTTATGAACAGGGTTAAAATTAGCCTTATAAGGTGATTTTTTATTTCAAAAGTGGGTCACACTCCAAGATTAGGGTCAAGAGGTCAAATATATAGGTACCCAAGAAGCGCCTTGTCACAAGGAATACACATGTGTAAAATTAAATCAACAGCTCCTGGCTCCAACCAGTCAAAATTTATATGGGAAAGGTAAGGTTTTTTTATGGACAAACTGACAGACGGACGAACAGGGCATAAATTATATACCCCGACTCTTCAATTTAAAACGGGGGCATGCGATTAAAGTAAAATGCTAAATTGCCGCACAGGGACCAGTAACATAAAATGCTTGATTGAATATAGTGTTCACAAAATATTTTTCGACTGTACAAAATTTGGAAACTCCAGCCGCAAAACCGATACTAATGATAGGATACAGTGTACCTGCAGAACAGTATCCCTATAATTACGCTATTTCCTCTTTACCCTCCCCTTTGAAAATTTTCTAGATCCGCGCCTGCAAATACTGAGTAATTATTTTAGGATGCAATTTAAAAAACTGCACTTGTCATATTCTAAATTTTTTTTAATTCACAGGGTTGAAGTAAATATAAAATTTAAAACTTGACAACTCTAAACCCATGCACGCAGTAAATCAGGTTGGGACCACTCGTCCAAATGGGATATAATAACCCGTTTGGGATATAATATCCCAATTGGGATATAAATTTACAGTGCAAAAAATTAAAACTTTTATTTTGACTATTAATATCATAAATCCGAATCAAGATACACTTATAAAGGAATTTAACTTTTGGTTGACAAGTTTGTCTGTATGCCCATTGTTTAGGAGATTTGGATCAATCTTACAAACAGTAGGGTTGCAGAAAAAATGCTTGCCAAAAGTTATTCATTTTTAGCTCACCTGAGCCAAAGGCTCATGTGAGCTTTTCTGATCACAATTTGTCCGTTGTCTGTCGTCGTCGTTGTCGTCGTCGTTGTTAACTTTTCACATTTTCGACTTCTTCTCAAGAACCGCTGGACCAATTTCAACCAAACTTGCCACAAAGCATCCTTGGGTAAAGGGGATTCAAGTTTGTTCAAATGAAGGGCCACGCCCTTTTCCAAGGGGAGATAATTATGAATTAGAGAAAAATTAATGGCATTTTTAATAAATCTTCTTCTCAAGAACCGCTGGGCCAGGAAAGATTAAACTCATGTGGAATCATCCTCAGGTAGTGTAGATTCAAATTTGTTAAATCATGACCCCCGGGGCTAGGGTAGGGCCAAAATGGCCGACCCAAGTTTTACATAGGAATATATAGGAAAAATCTTTAAAAATCTTCTTCTCAAGAACCACTGGGCCAGGAAAGATGAAACTCATGTGGAATCATCCTCAGGTAGTGTAGATTCAAGTTTGTTCAAATCATGACCCCCGGGGCTAGGGTGGGGCCAAAATGGCCGGCCCAAGTTTTACATAGGAAGATATAGGAAAAATCTTTAAAAATCTTCTTGTCAAGAACCACTGGGCCAGGAGAGATGAAACTCATGTGGAATCATCCTCAGGTAGTGTAGATTCAAGTTTGTTCAAATCATGACCCCTGGGGCTAGGGTGGTGCCAAAATGGCCGACCCAAGTTTTACATAGGAATATATAGGAAAAATCTTTAAAAATCTTCTTCTCAAGAACCACTGGGCCAGGAAAGATGAAACTCATGTGGAATCATCCTCAGGTAGTGTAGATTCAAGTTTGTTCAAATCATGACCCCCGGGGCTAGGGTGGGGCCAAAATGGCCGGCCCAAGTTTTACATAGGAAGATATATATAGGAAAAATCTTTAAAATCTTCTTCTCAAGAACCACTGGGCCAGGAGAGATGAAACTCATGTGGAATCATCCTCAGGTAGTGTAGATTCATGTTTGTTCAAATCATGACCCCTGGGGCTAGGGTGGTGCCAAAATGGCCGACCCAAGTTTTACATAGGGATTTATAGGGAAAATCTTCTTTTCAAGTATTTCAAAGCTATGATTAGTGATATTAATATGGAATCATCCTCAGGTAGTGTAGATTCTAGTTTGTTTAAATCATGAACCCCTGGGGGGGGGTTAAAATTAAGCCCCCCCCCCCCCCCAGTAAACTTTCATTTCTGATCTGATATATACTTTTTCATAGCTGATGTGCTCAGATGAGAGCTGTGGCCCCTGGGCCTCTTGTTAAGTATATTGCTGTGGATTTATGATTTTTATTGCTAAAATAAAAAAAAAATCATTTTTTGCACTGTGAATTTATACCCCGTCTGGGATATATTATATCCCAAACGGGCTAGCCATTATATCCCACTTGGGCGAGTGGTCCCAACCTGTTAATATCTATGAGTTCAGCTATGTTTTCACTGGTGTATTGGGGAAATAGGGTATTATATGTTTCTGTCTGTCTTTTAGTATTTGACCAAGCCCGTAGCATAGGAAGCAATTTCAGTTGGGGGACCATACACTTTCCTTGACATTGAAGCAAATAAAAAAATGTTCATCCGACGTTACTGAGGGACACAAACATATAATTATTTATGTATATGTTTTGTATGGTACGTATCCCGGCTACATTTATCAGAACAATCTTGCATGATAATATTACTTGGTGGAGGACACCAACCAGCCCTCAGGACTACGACCATGCAGACATCTAGGAAAATTATTATTAAGAGAGGGGGAGGGTGGTATTGATAAAATAAGTTGAAATCGTATAACAGGGTATATATACAGCTAGGCCAGCATTTTTTTATTTTTAGGTTTACAAACCCGCCGCTCAAGTTTTTGAATTTTCAGAAAAAAAATGAAATTGAGAAAAACAGAATTTTTTCTTTCCGATGTCAAATTTAAGTCGGGATCGAGATTTCAAATTTACGAACTCGTACTTCCGGTTTTAAATGAACATGGCGGGTAATGAAGGGAGATTTGTGTCAAGTCCATAGCAGCACTAAACCTTGGTTTAATGTAAATATTTATCGATAGGAGTGCCATTCAAAACGTTTCACCCGTTCAGAGAACAATAAAGTGCTGACGACTTTGTTGCAAAGTGACATGTTGGTGAGATAGTTATGTATCCGTATTCAAAAGTAACTGTCTGTAATTGTAAATTATTTTCCTCCCACAGGTTTAAAACTGCCCATGGTAGCTATTGTCAGAGACATTGTTTAGGTTTCTGTCATAGCTTACAGTCTTAGCATCATTCTTCAGGAAAGGGTCGCTTATGCATCAGATGTAATGAATAAAACTATGGGAGAAGTTAAGTCCATTTGAGCAAGAAATAAACAATAGCCTAAAGAAATAGAATATTTCAACTATTTAAAAACAAGAATATAAAAATATATACAGGCATGTAGTATCGTTTATGGCAGCCAGAAAAATTATTTTACACTTAATTGAAAAAAATTCCACCCTACTCAATACTCCTTGGGAATACTCCCTGTCTGTTTTATGAAAGGAATTATTACTTTTATAGGTCTCGAGTATATTAATATTTTAGAATAATTTCTACCTAAAACACATTAAAAACAAAAATGAAGATATATTAAAAGAGATTTAAAAAATTGATTTTTTAAAAAAAATCTGTATTTTGTCCAACATCAAAACATTTATTCACTGCCCCGAACTGGTAGATGATGAAATAAACAATTAAAGGTTGTATTTTCCCCTTTGTAACCCTTATGTGCCCAGTGGCAAGAAGCTTGTTAGGAGAGCGTAAAAAAAGAAGCAAAAATTAATGTAGAAAAGTTGATAATGTATCCAAAATATAATTTTTTTTTTTTTTTATTTCCTCCTCCTACGAGACTTTTTCATTCTGATGTTCGTAAACCTAAAAATAAAAAAATGCTGGCCCTAGTATTTAATTACATTAAAAACGCTTCGGGGAAAAAATCAAGCATTTCATTAGCAGATCTGTAAAGCGTATGTTAAAGAAGCTCTAAACGCTAACAGAAACTGCTTTCTGAACTTGGAGAAAAATATATAATATAAAGGTGCGCATACCAGACCTTTTCGTTTGTAACATATGGTACCTGTCTTGTTTCCGTAGCAAAAAAATTTCAAAGACAATGGACTATTCAAAGGCGGATCCAGGGTCGACGCGCCGGGCGTGCGCCCACTCCCCGTTTGAGATTTTTGTATGTAAATTTTATTTGTCCATTATCCTAAATCAAGGAAACATAGAAGAAACATCTCTTATTCAGTTGTAAAAACTTGTCAGCTTCAGGAGGTTTCTGTCCCGTACCCCAAAAGGACGTACATGTACAGTCGACAGACACCCCCCCCCCCTTTTGCCATCTACTGCGCCCTCCTGTGTTACGAAATCCCTGGATCCGCCACTGCTATTTGTGAGCAGACAATCACTGTTGTTTACTTACATTGGGAAAATAAATGAAAACGATGAATTCAATTACTATTTTTGATATAATGCTTTAAAAATATTTTAATCTATTACAAAGCATTTAATTATCTGTAAATATCTTTTTTTTTTAATTTTACTTCACTCTAACAGCATAAAACTATCCTATAAGTGAGTTGTCAGTAGAGCTCTTTAGTGTGCAGTGTTTAGAGCTTCCTTCAACATGTTTAATTAAATGTGCTGAAGTCCGCGTTGACATGTATCCTATGACATGATTACTGAGTAATATTTAGTCAAGTGTTAACTTTACTTATCTATAAAAATGTTACATCAGTATTTTTTTCTTCTTTTATCTAGAATGTTCTATTTATTCAACAAACGAAAGAGGAAGCTTAGCGTAAAATACAGAAAATTCTGGATTTGAAAAGTTTAGGGTCTTATTTTAGAGATCACACATGTGAAACCACGTGAATCATCGTATGTAAGCGGTAACAATAGAAATCGTATCTACTGTATTTCGCAATGTAAAAATAGCATAAATAATACATGAACACTTCATAATTCTTAACTTATTTAGCAAGGAATTATTACCTCCAATAATTTTCTATCAGAAAATCAGTACAGTTATTTCTCAGTATGGTAGCAAATAACATACCTTCAAAGGAAAGTATAAATGCTGAGGTTAAAAGTTGACTGGGTACGAATTCTATAGGGTACAAAAACTCGAGAACATTCTAGAGACTACTAACTGACGTCATATCCTCCTATTTGATAAAAGATCGGAACACGCCGGGTTCGAGAACACACCGGTTAGAAAAAGAAAAGAGGTTACCAGGAGTCAGAGGACATCTAGGTACGTATTTTAAAAGGGTACTCACCGAATCATACATTTTATATATCCTTTGCCCAAAGTGCTTCGATAATGATGTGCAATCAGAATGTACAGGGCACGTTTGCATTCCAGTTTCACGTGATTTGGAAATCCGTTCATTTTATCGATAAGGACAAAGGAATTTTAAAATAAAACGTTTAAGTTAATCAAAAAGGTTGAAATTCTATTTTACTCTGCCTATTTTGATTTTAAGCACGTCCAGTTTTCAAAAGCTCAATTTCGATTGCATTTTTTTATGACTTTAATTTTTTTTGAAAGATCAGATCTCTTGTTAAAAAAAGAAAATTTAGATTTTATTGCAACAAATACAAAAACAAATTATTATATTGAAAATATTTAGGGAATGTGAAAAATTTATCAACATTATTTTCAGAGTAACGAGAACCACAAATCGGTTCTGCATGCAGACATGCAATTTAATGTTTTAAAATTCATTTCAGACTTATAAATATAGTATTGTAATCCGTGCATCTTTTTCTAGCTGGAGTGTAAAAATTGTTCTATTTATATTGTCAAAAATTTCATTGTTTTAATAAATTTTTTCAGCAAGATGAGTAAAACAGCGCAAGCCATTGGCATAGATCTTGGAACAACGTATTCCTGTGTAGGAGTCTTTCAGCATGGCAAAGTTGAGATCATTGCTAACGATCAAGGAAATAGAACTACACCCAGTTATGTAGCATTCACAGACACAGAAAGGTTGATTGGAGATGCTGCCAAAAACCAAGTCGCCATGAACCCAACAAACACAATCTTTGGTGAGCAAAGGACATTTTTTTTTCATAATCTGATCAACAAGAGCTAAATATTAATCCAGTGTGAACTTAAACCTTATTCATGTAATTCAATGCACTTTTAAATTGTAGATGCCAAGCGTCTTATTGGTAGAAAATATACTGACACATCAGTACAAGCCGACATGAAACACTGGCCATTCCATGTCATCAACAACGCATCAAAGCCAATGATCCAAGTAGAATACAAAGGGGAGCAGAAAACATTTTCAGCTGAAGAAATCTCATCTATGGTCCTCACAAAGATGAAGGAAACAGCTGAAGCATATCTAGGCAAAGTAAGAACCTGTTTGCATTTATGCAAGTTTTGTTTGTTGTCATGATTTTATAAAGATGAGACCAAATTGAATACGAATATATGTATATAAATATTATAAGGATTGTAAGCAACACTCGTGTTTCCAGTGAATTCTTCCTTGTGACTTAACTTTAGAATAGATATCTGTAACATGATGAAGAAAAGTAGCCAAGCTTTTGCTGTTGACTTTGTTTTTAACCATTTCATGTAATTTGCAGACGATTAACAATGCTGTGGTCACAGTCCCAGCCTACTTCAACGATTCACAACGACAGGCCACAAAAGATGCTGGTACAATTGCAGGATTGAATGTTCTACGTATTATCAATGAACCCACAGCAGCTGCCATTGCTTATGGTCTCGACAAGAAAGTTGGAAATCAATCGGTAATTCTTAATTACCCTCTCTAGAATTATTATTAATTCTTAAAGGCTAAAAGAATTTTATAATTGAATCCAGTCTTGAAATAAAATTTATAGAAAGGGAAGCAACAAATCAAAAAAGGGATGCACCAAATTGTAACATACAATGCTTTAATTATTTTGAACATTTTAGGCAGGAGAACGCAATGTTTTGATCTTTGATTTGGGAGGAGGAACCTTTGATGTCTCAATTCTGACCATTGAAGATGGAATCTTTGAAGTCAAATCTACATCAGGAGATACTCATTTGGGTGGTGAAGACTTTGACAACAGAATGGTGAACCACTTTATCCAAGAATTCAAACGAAAACACAAGAAAGACATTTCTGACAACAAACGTGCGGTTCGACGTCTGCGAACGGCATGTGAGAGAGCAAAGAGGACCCTTTCCTCAAGTTCTCAGGCCAGTATTGAGATTGACTCTCTGTTTGAGGGTATTGACTTTTACACAAGTATTACCAGGGCTAGGTTTGAGGAACTGAATGCCGACTTGTTCAGAGGAACCATGGAGCCAGTTGAGAAGGCTCTAAGGGATGCCAAGCTGGACAAGGGACAGATTCACGATATCGTCCTGGTGGGAGGATCCACTCGTATTCCAAAGATCCAGAAACTTCTCCAAGACTTCTTCAATGGAAAAGAATTGAACAAATCCATCAACCCCGACGAAGCTGTTGCTTACGGAGCAGGTAATTGTCAAAAATTTCTTTAACATTTCCGCATTATTATTCTTTGAACAGAGTTAACATTGCAGACAAATGGGGGAAATATGTAACTGTAAAAGTTCATTGTTAGTAATATAAGTGAAAATTTTAATCTTTCTCTTGTATTGTAGCTGTCCAGGCTGCCATTTTGTCTGGAGATAAATCCGAGGAGGTCCAAGACTTGCTCTTGTTGGACGTCACACCCCTGTCCCTTGGTATCGAGACCGCTGGAGGAGTGATGACAAGTCTCATCAAGAGGAACACTACCATTCCAACAAAACAAACGCAAACATTCACTACGTACTCCGACAACCAGCCAGGTGTACTTATCCAGGTATACGAGGGAGAAAGAGCCATGACCAAAGACAACAACCTGCTTGGAAAATTCGAGCTGACTGGTATCCCTCCAGCACCCCGTGGAGTTCCCCAGATTGAAGTCACCTTTGACATTGATGCCAATGGTATCCTGAATGTGTCTGCTGTAGACAAGAGCACAGGCAAAGAGAACAAGATCACCATTACCAACGACAAAGGTAAGTCTGAAGATGATTGGTTACATTTTATAGTACTGGTGATATTGTGATGAAAGTTTATTCTCCATTCGCGGTTTCCACCAGAAGGCACTTTGTGTCTGAAGATGGTTTAATCCTTCCTTGGATGTCTGAATATCATCATTGTAAGACTTTTTCAAAATTTGTTACATTGATTGCAGTAATGATTCATTTGATTCATTATTTCAGGTCGTCTCAGCAAGGATGAAATTGACCGTATGGTTAGCGACGCTGAGAAATACAAGCAGGAGGATGAGAAACAGCGAGACAGAATTGCTGCCAAGAACAGTCTGGAAAGCTACGCCTTCAACATGAAATCCACAGTGGACGACGAGAAACTGAAGGACAAGATCAGTGAGGGTGACAAGAAGACAATCCTTGACAAATGTGACGAAATCATCAAGTGGATGGACCAGAACCAACTGGCTGAGAAGGAAGAATTTGAACACAAACAGAAGGAACTTGAGGGAGTGTGCAACCCTATCATCACCAAGTTGTATCAGGCAGCCGGAGGTGCCCCTGAGGGTGGTATGCCAGGAGGAATGCCCAACTTCGGAGGTGGTGCCCCAGGCGGTGGTGCAGCTCCAGGTGGCGGCAGCGGTGGTGGACCAACTATTGAGGAGGTCGATTAAAACAATGGCAAAAACAACACAATGTAAAGCAAAAACGAGACTGTACTATCAACTTCAAGTCCCATAATGTTGTGTTTAAAACTTTAAAAACTTGCAAAGCTCATGTTTATATCGTTGCTATGTTTAATTTATTGGTAACAAAATTAAAAAGTTCTGATCAGTGAGTTTATTTCCTGATTTTTTTTTTGTATGTACATTCACAATCATGTAGAGGGTGGTCATATTAAAACGACAAGTTGAAGGTAAAGTGGAAAGAGGTTTCAGCAGAGAGGAAGCAAGTGAAAGATTTAGAAGTGGCAGAAATTGAATTACTGGGGGATAAAGGGGGAGAGGAAGATGGGAACGATGTTGCAGATACTTGTGTACCCAAGTTTCTGCATGTGGTGATATTTTCTATCTCGGAAGTAAGGATTTAAAATGGTACTGAATAGAGCACGGGCCAGTAACATGCTAGGTTTGATTTTGCGTTGTCGCTATACAACTAGAGGTAAGGCCATAATGAAAATATTCCTAGATTCTCATCCCCGCCCGCCCCGATTTTATACCCCCGCCTCGATTTTTTTTTTCCTGTTTTTCTTCGTCTTAATTCTGATCGGGATCGGTATTCATCTAACATTCTACTTTCGTTTTAAATCCCGCGAAAGTCGACATGATTTTGACAACTGAAAAGATGGTAATTGCTGTAATACATGCGTATATATTTTAAACAAGGGTCATTGGTTGAAAAGGATTGGTGATGATGTGAAGTAAGAGATAACTGAACCTTTACTATGACTTTTATTCGGGTATTGTAGATAATATTACACCGATTGACCAGGTCAATAAAAAATCTGCAAATTTGAAAACATAAAAGCCGCCCGCCCGCCTCGATTTCTAAAAAAAATTCGGATGAGAATCTAGCAATTTATTTATTATGACCTAATGTAAGCACTGAGTTCACTAAATAGACCTCAGCCGCCTCCCATATGACTACCATGTTTTGATCAGGGAGACCCAAAATAAATGTTAGATGAAAAGGGAGATGCATTATGGTGTTATATATAAAAAAAAAAGAATGTGGAAGTAATTTTATTCAGTAGTAACGAGGATTTTGCAGATAGATGGGTCATGGGTACCCTTCAACAGTACAGAAAAAATGTCGGTGTCAATGTTTTGCTATGGGAACACGAAATATGCTTCCGCTCAAGAAGTAAAGGTGCACAATGGCACATTGGAACAAAGAATCTATGCAGGGACCTATGTACTAAAACAGTGGGTTAGTATATAGGTCCCTGCTCTATCATGGTAGTCTCATTAAATTTCATTCCGTGGTAAAAGAAGAGTTGTGAATAAGAGATGGGTACCCCAAAGTTTAACGACGTACAGACGGACATCCCGATGACTAGATACCCTCCGACTTTTCAAGCGGGGGTATAAAAGTTGATATTTTTGTAGAATCAAAGTACTTACTGGCGATGATTTTGTCCGTCTTCATGCATTTCCACCCTCCTGTGTTGTCAAGTTTTTGCAAAAATTATTACGTATGTTATGTATGTAAATTTAAATCACTTAGAAAAATGTCTCTTGGGTGAAGGCTTTTTGTAATGCAAATAATTGTTAGGTAAAATAATTGTAAAAATGTATATTTTCTTTATAATGCCATGGGCAATAACTCCTGATATATTCAGGCATTTTCTTTATTGTGCATGTGTAAAACGTTTTCCCTGACTTTCACAATTCGAGTATTTTGTAAGTATAGCAATTACTTTGGAACGTTTAGCATCAGAATTTTAACAAGTTTTAACCGATGATTTATACTGTTTACTAAAAATGAAAAATACGGCAACCTATACATTTTTGCTACTTTATTAATTATACCATCCGCTTGAAAAGTTGGAGGGTATATATATATAGGGTATATAATTATATCCTGAGACTGAGACTTTCACAGAATCTTTGTTATATAGTGCCATTGTGCACCTCCTAGTTTAGTTTTGATCAGACCATTATTGATATTGGTCGGTCGGTCTGTCGGTCCACTTTCTGTTCATTGATTGCACATATTGAAATAAAATTTGGTATACAGATAAGATTTATCAAAGGAATATCTAGGTCAAGTTCTGTTTTGGTTACGATCGAGCCATTTTGGACAGATTTATACCCCTTGAACTTAAAAACATTCCAGTTATATATGCAGTTTCCGTTCATTTTCTTTACAGAGGTTTCACATGCATTCTGAAATGAGATACACTGTACAGTACAGATTTATCATAAAAATTAATTATTTTTGTTCAGGTTATGACTTCAGGGGATAGGGAGGGGCCACAATGGGATATCCAAGTTTCACACAGAAATACATTGAGAAAAACAAGATGTCTTTTTGTAAACACTGACGCCCCCGTATGCCAGCAAATGGCGAGAGTTGAAATTTCTCAAATCAAGTGAAACTCCTAGGTTAAAATTGTTTCCCTTGGTACCCAATGGAAGGTCTTCTTACAAGGAATACACCTGTGAAATGTTAAAGATATGGTCAAGGTTGAAAATTTGGTAACACCAAAAGAAAGGTCTTGTCACAAGGAATACACCTGTGAAATATGAGAGTCAAAGCCCCTCCCACTCAAAAGTTATGGACAAAGTTAAAGTTTTTGCAGAAAAACAAATAGACAGAAAGACGGACGGACAGGACAAAACTATATACCACCTAATCTTCGGTTACGGGGGCATAAAAAGACTACTTTCTGTTTCCGGGTGATGGTTTAAAACTTTTACAGCGTATTTGTATGTCATAATGATTTAAGACGTCTTAGTTTATATAGGATATCCTAAAGCTAGATAGCTTTGAAAACATGTCACGCGATAATCTTAGGATGATCTTAAAATGTTAAAATAAAGATATGGCTTAGGATTTTTTTTTTTTTTGGTTAATCTTCTTCCTCATCCTCACAATCAACTATCTGAACTCCGCACAATTAAAAATCGCAAGATTTTACTTCTTCGGCATTGGCTGAATTGGAAAGAAAGAACAAAACAACGTTCATGATAACCTTTTAACATGTTCCTGCAAAAATTAAGAATTTCTGGAATGAATGCAAAAACCATTTCATTTAAATTCGTGTTTTAAACTGTTTAAAAGTAAATTTTTAGTGGTTTGCACGAGAGGACGACATTTCTCTACTTTTTCATATGTCCAAATGCTTGGTTATGTTTAAAAATCAAACAAAGTTGTTATTTTTAAAGTTAAAGTTTTGCAAATTCATTATTGATGGATTTTTTAGGCCCCCGTAATCGAGGATTTGAAGCTATGAAATATGTGTAGATAACGAACATTATTCGAGCTCAAAAGTCCATTAAACATTTCAAAACAGGAGCGGAACACTCAAGGACCTACAAGACATCAGAGATGGGATCAGGTGCCATGGAGGAGTGAGCATCCCCTGCCAACCGGTCACATCCGCCGTGTGCTTCTTGCCATGATCGGGAGTTAATGGGAAAATCCGTGGACAACTCAGTGTGTAAAATAATGGCCTAACAATTAGTATGAACAATCAAATTAAGAGAATTGTGGTCCCCCGCTTTCAGTGTCTATGTGGAATTTTGTCAAAAATGAACGCCTATCTTATGTCATTCAGAAGTTATCACCGAAGTTGATTTTTTTGAAAATTAGGTCAAACGTAAAGGTCAAGGGGTCAGAAATCATAGCATGCATGAAAATATCTTGTCACAGGTGATGCACATAACAAATATCAAAGCCCTTTCTATTTTCAATAAAAAATTAAAGGGAAAACATTTTTGAAAAGTAAGTCAAACTTCAAGGTCACGGTCAGAAGATTGAAAATAATAGTGTATTTCACGAGCAATACACAAATTTAATATGAGAGCCCCATGTCTTCTCAATCAAAAGTCACGACCAAGGTTAAAGTTTGAGAAAAGTAGGTCAAACTTCAAAGGTCACACTGAATTTTCGAAAGGTCTTTTCACAGGTATTATACATATCCAATTTTAAGTAGATGTACTGTTATTTTTTTTACACTAGGTCAAACTTCAAGGTATGGTCACAGGGTTAAATATCATGTACAGTATTTAGAAAGATCTTGTCATAGGCATTACACAGGTGTAATATTAAAGCGCTATCTCTACTCATTTAAAAGTCATGACCAAAGTTAAGGCTTTTGAAAAGTAGGTTAAACTTCAAGGTCACAGGCCAAAAATCATAGTGTCTTTAAAAAGGTCTTGTCACAGAAAATACACATGTTTAATATGAATGCCCTATCTCTTCTCGTTCAAAAGTTTTGCCAATTTAAAGTAATGTCTAATTTTTTTAAAGTAGGTCAAGCGTCAAGGTCACGGGGTCAAAAATCATGGTGTATTCAGGAAGTTCTTGTCACAGTAGTATATACATTTATAATATGAAAGCCCTCTCTTTTCTCTTTCAAAAGATATGTCCAAGGTTTAAGCTTTTGAGACGGATAGACAGAACTACAGACTGACAGTTGGATAGACGAATGAGATTTAATGTCCCATCGCTTTCGCGAAAGCGGGGGACAAAAGAAGTCGTTCAGCATTAAACTTATTGATAAATTGTATTTGCTTACAAGGTCATTGTATCGACCATAGAACTGACGAAATGATTACTTAAAACGAGACTGCTGATATTCTTGCTTAATCAACTTGTTTGTAAATAACTAACCACGTTTTAGAAATTGACAATACGTAGACCATGCTCTTCTGTATCGAATCATTGTTATACAATTAAAATAAAAATGTTACATAGATACGACAATTTCTAAAGCAAATTTACCGTATGCAATTTATCTACGTGCAAGCTGGGGAGACCGTCATGCATGCATGAACCTCTTAGCATTTCCTCTAGAAATATTTTCTAAATATAAAAGTAACCTACGATTTTTTTTTCAAAAAGTTATTTTTTTAATGCTTTTTTTATTCATTTATGCATTGTTGTTTGTTGTAGTTTTGCCATTCTGTGATTCCATTCTTTTACCAGTGCAACATTAATTGAGAAGCCAAAGATAAACACTGGAAATTGATCATGCTTTATTGCATCTACACTACACCTGTTTGTGCCATAATGTTGTTATCCTACCTTTGTAATTATTTCTACCCTCCCCCTTCCTCCATAGCCTGCCCAGTATCATCAAATAATTTACATCGTCGCATTGAAGCAGTTGGGTTATTATCAAACTTTTCCGTTCATCACTCAAGAAGTTTTTGAATTTTTTATTTTTAATATACACACCGAGAACAGAGGCGTGTTGTAAGAGAACATAACCTATAATTAGAGATATGTTTTCTATTAACAGCCGTGGATCGACACGTACGGTTCTACTTCGTTTGATTCTTAAGTTCAGAAGATAAGATCTGAGCAATTTTATTTGTCTGCCCAGAAACTTCACAAAGAAGAGAAAGTTTTGCTTGAAGAATAACAAAAACGCTACAATTTAGTTTGATTTAGGCTACAGACTGTGGAATTTCGTCCGATGGGTCCTCCATTTTTTAGGATCTATGGAAGATTTTTTAGACGTCCGGTCGACCCCTAAATTGTCGTCTGCTCTCCTTGCGACATCTGTGTTTGTTCACGTGATTGGATTCTCGTCCAACCATTGGTCAGACGGAGGGGTATTTTATACTGGACTTTGGGAGGCGTGTATCCTTACGCCTAGATTCCACTGTCTGGAGGATCCCTACTCAGCAGGTGAGTCATAGACAACAGGTGGATCCAAGAATTCTCATTTATACGTGCTCTTTAAGAACTGTTTACTGTCATCGCTCTATATTTCAATATTTCTGACACTTCGAATGAAACATAGTTAAATGAAACATAAACTCCAAATTTCTTCTTTTTTCTTTAAAATAAAAGAAGAAAAGAAAAAAGTCGATACAATTTGTAATATAAACCATAGAATAACTAAAAATGTAGAAATCATGAAAAACATACCAACAATGGACGGATTCTATGATATTCTTGTAGTAATTATTTTCTGCTTTCCTCTGCACTTTGGTGTAAACATCTTCCAACTTGTTCCACACTTAAGAGCATGTTCTGAGTTGCAGACATAAGCTAACAGTAGGTTATATTTTGAGTTACCTGTTTTATATATTGTCTGATCATTGCTTATAGATCTATACTTAATTTAACTTTGGGATATTCCGTCTACCGATCGATTCATAGGGCTCCATACATATGTAACGGTCGACAGGGGATGGTTACTCCTCCTGGACACCTGATCCAACATCTGGAATTTCCGAGGGTCCATGTTTTATGCTTCATTCACAGATTTGTTTTGATTGTAGATTTCTTAGACCGATATCCCTGTTGATTATCTCGACCTTTTTTCATATAATTTTAGCTGCAGACCTGTAGCTCTCCGAATAAATATATATTGATAGACCGGAGAGCTACAGTGCCACCCATTGAAAAAAACTGTATATTTAAAGTGCGCTCGATTCTTGATTAATTTTTCCAAATCTCTTACCTCAATTGCAAAAAATGGAAGATTTCAAAAAATTACTCTCTCCTCTATCAAGTTCTCTCGTAGTTGACATCTGAACGAAGCATATTGGACCGAATTATCTTTGAAACCAAAATGGCAGTATAATTAAGCGAAATGTCCGATGATTGCAATATCAGGACCAGGAGGACTATTAACAACAATTATGAGGAATGTTGTGGAAAGAGTCAAAGAATATGTTAGGAACACACGGTTAGTAATATTTTGAGATTACAGCTATAAAAACATGGAGAAATAAATCGAGAACCGAGCGCATTTTTTTGTGCGCAATAAATATACAGTTTTTTTCAATGGGTGGCTCTGTAGCTCTCCGGTCTATCAATAATTTTTTTCGGAGAGCTACAGATCTGCAGCTAATATAATTTAAGCTGTTTACATAAATAGGTCGCATAACATACATGTACCTATGTTGTATCTTACATGTATGACGTCAGGTACTGAAAGGTAAGTAAATTTATCCGGAATAAAATTAGATTATCTAAAAAAAAAAAATCCAACTTGCATGTCATCAAAATGTGTTATTATGATAAATTTGTACATGTATGTAACTAAACCTTTATGATCAATGAGACTAAAAATAAAGCAGAAGAAAGACTTCTATATACAATCCAATATACAGTTTTACAATGTATATAAGAAATCATTATTGTACAGCACGACAATAATTTTATTTTGATTCAATCGAAGCTTATAAATAGTTTTTTCATCGCAAATATGAACAACAGAAGTTTATTAACTATTATTTTTTTCTGTCATTGAAATAGTTATTTCCAATTTTGCAATAAAAAATTCCGACTTCAAAGTTGCAGCTCACATATTGCTTTAAGGTCAGACGACACGTTCCTCAAATATACATGTTTTAATCTCTTAATATCATATCCAAATTTATTCATTATTGTCATTCTCTTGTGATTTCTGTATACTGTTTTCAACATGTTTTTAAATTTAAGTACACAAAAATTGTGATTTAGGAGTTTCAAAAAATTACCCATAAGGATTATATTAGAAACGTCACCCTCTGGTATCTTGTCCAAATGCCTGGTAAGGTACCTCAATTTTTTGTGAGGAAATCTGTTTTAGTAACTATACTTCAGTGACAAATTCTTAGGAAAAATTATATATTTTTGAAGATCGTGTCGTCTGACCTTAAGCATAGAGGGGACCAGAGAAAAGTCGAATGGAATTCTTGGAATACAGTTTCTGCATTAGTCCGCGATGAAATCTCGCGCTTACCATGCTTACTCCAATTTTAGATGCGGGTTTTTCTATTATCCCTTGGGGGTACCCAGTGTTAACCTCCTTACTCACAAATAAACACAACTGGTTCGTGTTGACGGGAAGATGGCGGGATTCGGGAGCTCTAGTTTAGTGGTGAAGATTTCCTTTATCTGTGTCATTGTTGCCGTGTTGTTCCACCTGGTGGGATTTTCCACGGCCTACTGGAGTAATTGGACCGGATACGTATACTCCCATCACTGGGGACTCTGGAAGATTTGTCAGCCTTACTGTTACTCCGTATCCTCGGGTTCCGGTATATATGTTTAAAAGCTTTATAACGCGATTCTTCTTGAAATAGTGGTTTGTTAATATCACTCAGTTTTGTTTTAAAATTTGTCTTATATATATACATGTATACAGTTGCTTCTTTCTATATGGCTTTATCAGAAGGTATTTGTTGCTTTCATCATTCTGTTTAAAATTTTGTATCTTTTTATGATAATTGTTAAATGAGAAAATCATACAACCAATCCAACCACGCTTGAATATATCATATTCATATTTTATGCTCAGGAATGATAATTAATGTTGCTTACAATTTAATGTGTGTAGAAGAAGACAAATTTCCACAGAAGAAAAAAGGGCGAATTAAGTAGGGCGATCATGTTTAATTACAAAGCCAGCTGGAAGGATAACAAATGATTTGTACATACAGCCTTAAGAAACATCTCATATCTTTCTGATGAGCGTGCACGCATGTAGGCGTGTGTAGAGGAGGGGAGAAAATCTTCTTTCCTTTGTCATTGCACTGAGCGTCAGCATGTATGTTGAAAGGTTCTAAGTAAAGACAAAGAACTAAGGTTTTTAAAACACCACTGAAAAGTCTTCTTGTAAGACACATGTTACTTATTATTTTTTGTATAGCGTCACCTTTTCTTGATATTTATAACGTAGATGACAAACGAGATTTGCATACAATATATAGTGATATTATCTCTTTTCGTGTTAAGAGAATTCGACCAGACAGCAAATTGCTTTATCCTACATCTGAAAAAAATGTTCATGACATTTGGTCGTTCTTTAAGAAATGCAAATCTACATATATTGCACATTTTAGTTTGTTACTTACTCTGAACATTGTAACAAATGTTTTTATAAATGTGTGTGTGTCAGAAATGTAGAAAGGGACACATAAAGGCGTAACTGACGCTTTTTTTCTAAGCGATTTATAGAAACGCATGTACCTTTTTCAGTTAGTCTGCAGGCAGTCACTTCAGGATTTTGAAGGTGACATTAATATCCCCCATCATAAACATTAGAAATAAAACAGAATCGTTTAAGTTACCCAGTGCATGTATTTACACGTTACTTTTTCGAGTATTTTTCGAAACGGAGACTACTTAGCAGAATTCATCCACTGACTTCATTTTTCAGATTGTAACCCAAAAATATTTGCCTCATGAGTTATCCATGAGTTGTTGCTGAATTCTTTCTTTTTAATGTAGGATTGCTTGGATGATGACACACACAAAAATTTTCATTCATTCCTTGTTTTGATATATTTGATTTGGGGGTATCTGTTGGCCAGTTGACATAATTGCGTGACATCAGTTCGAGGGCAACATGCATTTTGTTTGATCCAAGAACAACCAGTTTGGTTTGAATGGTCAACAAAACGCATTTTGCGATTGTCCAGTCAATGCATGTTTTGTTATACCTTATTATTTTGACTTATCTTGCACTAGCTTCCTTGATCACGATGATTGATATGTATACATCTTACAGTGTGACGTAAAAAGCGTCATAGCGGTCCAGTATCTCATCGATAAAAATACCGGTAGTCCAAAATCTCACTCAGCGGTACAACATTGATTTTATTTTATTTTTTGATCGCTTTTTAACATTTATAGAACTCCACTGTTTTTTTTTCAATTCAACTTGTATTGAATCCGCTCAGACATTTTGAATGAATGATGCTACGTTTTTTAATCGGTTGGTTTGGAGATACCCAGCATTTTGATATATTACAATTTCATCGATAGCGGGAATTAAGTTTCGTGGGAGATAACATATGCATCTCATCGAATATACACTAAATACATTTTTGCATCACAGCACGTTTTGTAGAAATAGCTGGAAAACAGTTTGATAGGTGCAAACGATGTTTTCCTTTGACAACTGTATCGTTATTGAGATAGGTTGTATCTTAGTACAATTCTCAGTTAACCTTGGACTCTCAGTAGGGCGTGACTTTCTCGACACCCCTAATTAGCGTCACTCAAATGGCGAATAGATTCTCATTGGTTAAGAAATTAATAACATCAGCAACTTTAAACTGTTGTTGACAACGATGAGACGACTTAAGCCCCATCTCTTTGCCGTACGAAATACTGGATCATTGCTACACTCGTTGACATTAGCCCGAGTGTATATTTCAGCAGTGAATACCACGCCTTACTGTAAGTCCTATAGGATAACAGAGACTTGCACTATATGACGACTTTTTTCTATCGTTAATTTCATTGGTTGTGTTCAATGATGACTTTTATTTTGATAGGTTGGTTTGGAGCTACCCAAGCTTTTGAGACAATCGGCCTGATTGGTGGATTTGTGGGACTAATCCTGATCATCCTATATATATTCATAGACAAAACAGCGGGAAATCGAGTTCTGTTCATCATTAGTCTTGTGGCAGTAGGGATTGCAGGTACAAAATACTACTACAAATGCGTGGCGTGGAAGACGGGTTAACCCCATTCCCCGCAGTCATGCATTATTTTTAACCCATATACCATTTCCTATTTCTAACGCAAAATCACGCTTATACCGTTTCCCTGCAATCACTTATTTTTCACCCACTTTCAAAAGTACATTTATAATCTTCAATTTAATGCAAATTCCCTTCTATTCTTTAAACTAACTAAAATTTCATAAAGTAAGAAAAAACATATTACGTCATAATTACTAAGCTAAATTTTAGAGAGAAATTTGTAACTTGATGTGCTATGAAGTGCTTGCGGGGAATAGGTAACGTCATATTATTGATTGCCGAAGTTGAGGTTAAGTTGGGGTATAGTGCAGAGAAAAAACAGCAATTGGTTAGAGTACATTGAATGAAAAATGTAGTAAATTATGGTTATATTCGCGATAGTCAAATTTTTGCTTTCTTTGCAAGCATAAAGAATGTTTTTTGGATTGAAAAAATTAATTTGCGTTAAATACGGTATACATACATAGATAGATGAAGCTGTCGCAAAAATAGGACATTTGTTTTGGGATGTTTTCGCAAAAGTTCTGACATGCAGAAAAACATGTAAATGTAATAAATATTGAATCATATTTTGTATAAGGATAAAAATTAACACTCAAATGGAATAAAATATGTTATGCTCAAAATCAGGAAAGACAGATTTTTTCCAAATCTTTGATTTCTTTCAAAATTACCTTAAAATATTATAATTTGAGCTGTGAAAAGAGTATGTCTACAAAATGTGTAGGAGACAAAATAACCCATAGAACTTTATTCTTTGCGAAGATATTTGAATTGTATTTGCCGTGCGGTTACATTATTCATTAACTGCAGTAATTTTGCCCTCCCCCCCCCCCTTTTTTTTGGGGGGGGGGGGGGGGGCTACAACTCCTTAGGATCTCCGGAATGGTGCAAGTGCGGGAGTGATTCACTACCGCACAGATTTCAGGTCAAATTGTCTATTTTATTAAAATTTCTTACCTGGAATCCCAAAATGTAGTTATGCAAGACATAAATCGATCCAAAAATATACAGAACGATCTATATATCGGTTATTTTTCGTGTATGTCAACATCACAATTTGAATTTATCCGCCATGTTTACTGACCTTGATAGATTTTATTTTGAGACAGCCAATGAGAATTTAGGATCTGCAGGAGCGGATCTTTTGGGAATTCCCTTAAGCATAAATGTCGCTGTTTACGAAAAAATAATACATGGAATGGTTTTATTTATCAATGTTTAGTGATGCTATTCATTACAATTATTTATAAACACCGACATTTGCTTTATTGAGTTATTCTAAATTTCAAGCGCAAGTCTCCGCACATCAAACGTGAACTGTCATGGTTGCTGAGTAGAGCGACTGGAAAACACGCAGATTTATTTCACATGGTTTTCGCGTTTGTGGGGCTATGTTTTTGAAAGTGAATAAAGATGCCGATTACATGTAAACCCACGTTGAATGATTAATTTTGCTTCGTTATCTCTCCCATCACGAGATGGAGAGAGGAAAAACATCGTAAAAAAAATCGGAGAGTGGGTTTATTGACGATGATAAAGATGCCGACTTACATGTATTAGAAGTAAGTTGAATGTAAAAACAATTAATTTTGCCTGTAATCACCCGTAAATATATTTGCACCATTACGGAGATTCTGCGGCATTGTAGCCCTCTCCAGAAAACATCAGATAAAAAAAATCGGAGAGGGCTACATTATTGCAGCTAATTATACATGTACCAGATGTACATATACGCAGTACAAGTGAAACGACACCAGAATTTCAATTTTTATTGACTTCAGGAAATTTGAGTGTTTTCGTTTTAGGAATTTTCTGAAAATGGAAGGAAATTAATACATTTTCCGAAAAATTCCAGATATGAATTAATTCCAACACAACTGGTGTTCGGGCTTATTTATAACACTAGGTACGTGGAATATAAATCAAATTAAGGAAATTTTAAATATTTGATCTTGTACTTTAATATCAGTCATTTTTAAGTATTGAGCAGAATACGTAAGTCATATAATAGAAGCTTTAGGCCCATTTCATATCAAAAACCAAAAATAGCGAAACGGCTTATAAAAAAGCGTAAACTGATCCAAACCAGGATATACCAGAATAACCTGAATACCCATTAAAGTCATTCCTTATAAATTAATTTTCCATTTTGAAGTTTTGAAATTAAATTAATTCAAAATTTTCTCCAAAAATGCCTTCAGAGTGAGCACGTCAAACAGATTATTAACAAGTCTTTGACGTAAGGCATTGTGACCTAGGCAACACAGGTTATACGATATAAACTAATTTTTTATCCAATCAAATGACGCGTTACAACCAAACTTAAATTATTTAGCTATGTGGTCATTCAACAAAAACATTAAAATTTTCTTCTGAGTTTTTATCCTTTGTCGTTAAAAGTATTTTTATCTGTTAAGATAAAAATCAGTAAATGACATTTTTATTTGACTATTTGTCTTTTTGAAGAAAAAATCATCTACATTTCACGATTAAAAAATACAATGTTTCTTCAATTTTTCAGCGGGGTCTACTCTCCTAGGTGTGATTATTTATGGCGCGAATGGAAGCGCCCTCTCGTGGTCATTCGCGCTGGCTGTCATCGCCGGACTAATATACGGTGTAGCTACTGCACTGATGGCCATTCACTTGGTCAAACCAGGCCTTGTCCAGGGATGATCCAGCGAAGCCAACTATATAGTCTGTCAGATGATCGAGGAGCTAGCTAACGGATCATTTACAGCAGGCGCAGTTCTCACCATTACGTGATAACGATGAATTAGATATAAATGTATTTTTGAAATTTTCGTTGTAAAAGTATTTTAGGAAATAAAGTTACGATTGAATGTGTAGATTGCGTCCTTCTGTCTTCCTTAGGGAAAGAAACAATACAGCCTTTTTATTATTGCATAAAATCTTCAGCACAAGACAGAAATAGACATCAGACCGCAAATTTTGACCATTTTATGTTTCCCGAAATATATATTCTGATTATCATAACATCGACATGAAAAAAACTACATGGTATAGAACAATGTGTACAGCACAGTTTTGCACAGTTTATTCCAACAATTTTAATTACATGAAGATTTTAACAATGTTTGGTGATAGTGCAGAAGGATTCTGTGATACAAATGCTCCTAGTGAACTGGCCGTGGTTTCAACGGCTTTTTTTTCTGCATTTCATCTCCAATTCTTTTTTCCTAAACCATTCTTAGCACTTTTAGCATTTTAATTCAGTCTTTTAGCATTCATACTCAGATACAGGACGAAGACTGTACAATATTTAGCTACTTATTTCGGACTAGCAACAGCTTTGCACGTTATTCAACTCTTAAAACCTTTTAAACTGTCGTATTATATAGGCTTCTTCGATTCTATCGTTTGGTAGAAAGGAATGGAACCTTTGGGAGCATTAAAATCTACATCAGAGTCCCGGTACACAAAGGATTTGTGGTGTTTTTATTTTAGTTTTAAATGAGGGGGGCTGGCTGGAGAGATAATGAATAATCAATGTCTCAATAAGACTGCCAGAAGACATAACATTAGCTTCCAGCCAGGACTTTCTGTTACAATGACGCACAAAAAAGGAAATACTTCTATCCATGCTTTTCACACGGAAGTTTACACTTTACTTCATAAATATAACATTGATATATATCAGTAGAGCGATTGTAAATAGCTATTAGTTAAACTGCAGGTTGGGATTTTGCAAAAGGATACAATAGTAATTCAAGAAGCGATTTATGCAGTTTTTTTAGGAGAATTCGTAGCGGAGGATTTGTACAGACAATGCAGTAAGTCAATATCAGGTATAAAAATTTCATAACAAATGGATGATTCAGGGAAAAATTGCATAAAGGCATATTGCAAAATAATCGCGAGTCAGCAGTATTGATATTGTAAATCGATATTTTTTTTTGAGAGTCTTGCGGTCCAACATTTGACGTCGATTTTTTTTTGTTTTAAACGTCGAAAATTTTCTGAAATGTCCAGTTTCTTTATTTGGGAATTAGGGATTTTACTCATAAGTTAAAAGCCATATAAAAGATGATTTGACATTTTTGCTTTGAAATACATGTACATTAGTAAAAATGAAGAAAAAATTCTATAGAGATGACGACCACGGCATGCTTTGTATAGCTGTTGCTTAAATAGAAAGAACTGAAAATTAAATGCTACTCAAGTAAACCAAGCTAGATCTAAAGTAAGACCGTCTTTACAAATCCTGAATTATGCCGACTCAGATTTCATTGTATCAAGACATGCAAAATTCCTGTTTAATCCGCGGAAAATGAGACCAAATCCTGAAAATAGCGTGATCAAAATAACCCTGACTTTTGGGGGTTTTTTTTGTTGCTTTATAATGATAAAAAATAATGCATAAAAAACCTTTGATTCTTCAAAACTTGACGGACGACTGAAGCAGAAGAGCATTCAATCAATCTGGATTCTGATGACTTTAAAATTCCTCTCTTGGCTGGCTATCATCGATCCGGTCCCGAGGGAGTTCGTTACCTTTCTAAACGAGTAATCATTTCTGCATTGTGCAGAGTATTAGCAAGCAAAAGAAAACTATTTCTCCGATATAGAAAACAACCTAATTGGGATTTACTTCTGTTTCTTTTGCAGAAATATCCCTAGTGAAGGAGAGAGAGTCAGGGATGTTCATTTGATCAATAGGAAGGAAGCCGAAGAAGGAAGACTGTAGCGATAAATTTTGTTAATGTCTATAATCATTGATCCCGTATTCCACGTTTGTGAATTTCAATGTGCTGCTAATTCATCTCGTCAACTTTAAGGCTCTCTGAGTAATTCTCGTGTGTTATCGAGTGATTTTTGTGTAGGAATTGGATGCCATCTTCGGATCGTGTTGATTGCTCATTAATTTTCATATTCAGTTCAAGACTAAAGAAGGAATATTGACGGTTTGCATTGATTGTAGAGATTGACGTATATCTACGGGATCCTTTACTTGAAATCGATGTGAACTAAAACTTTTTCTTGTTCAAAGTCCTCCATGCAAATAGAACATGTGCTGATGTAAAGTGATCTGCTCACTTACGATAATTGTCTTTTGACTAGCATGAGAACACGGCATATATTTCTTGAGTTTCCTTTCTGTTATGGAGAAAACGAGAAGAATTTCAGTAGACCGGAAGGGCATCCAATCTTTGTTTATTCCAGCTGTTCCGAAAATTGTGTTCGAAACCTCTGAGCCGCACGGACCTGAAACTACGGGAGGCACGATCCCTCATTCGCACTCTGCTGGGGAGCTAGCAATCGCCAATGAAGGAAATCAGTTACAGAAGCGCACCGGAAGTACTAATTTCCCGTCATCGGACGGAAGTGAGTCTAGTTCCCGTTCCACTCTTGACCTATATTGCTCACCTCGACTCCAGAGACGTCAAGTGTTTCAGTTTGACCAAGATGATATGGAACAATCATGGACGGAAACCATGGTTTCTCGGAAGTCTTCCAACACCCTGGGACCGGGAAACAAGATCGGGAGTACACTATCACTGACAAGTGAATGTACAGCCCGGAGTATAGGACTCATATCTAACGACTCCTCGTCCGACAGCACACAATTCTCGGACAAACTGGAACATATTAAACAAAAACAAAACTATCTACGGCGGTATGCTTCGAACCCAGAGAAGAATCAAAAGGAGTGTGTGGAAAATGCTGTCCAAAGAAGCACCAAGTCTTTCAGTAACTTTCAATCGGAAAGCCAGAGAACAAGTGAGGTAGGGAGTGACAGTATGGACGACAGTTTGGGTGATTACGTCACACCACGGGAAGTTCAAGAGCAGATGTCACGCTTCTCTGTCGCCAATTCTAATGAAAATTCTTCACCTAATCTTATAACTATGGTAACCGATGACTCGGAAATGAAAGAAGGTCGAATCCGACAATGGTTGACTGATATAGATGATAAAGACGGTTCCTTTTATTAAGTATTTTTGTAACAAACGTGGTTTATGTCTAAACTTGACGTGCAAAGTAAACAGTTATTTTTAGTTCTAGATTTACATTTGAATTAAGCAGAGGTCTAAAGGTTGAATTGTGAACCTGATAAGAGAAAACAAAAATTTGTTTGAGAAAACAATTTATCCCATAGTTTCGAACATTAGCGCGTAATGTTTGTCATATATACATGATATATATACCATTTTTAAATAGTTGGAGAATAAAAACGTTAAATTACGGGGGAAAATTTAAAAATTAGAAAATTACTGAAAGAACTTTATAACTTGCGAAGAAGATAGAAGGTGCCCCAATCAATCCCAAGATTACAACAAAAAGTCAGCTGAATTTGAAAATGATAATTAAACAGGATTAATCGATACTGGTGTATACATGGGGCTTATAAATTCACTCTTTATCTATTACATCAACGTCAATTACGGTGTATATTCATCAAAGTCGATATACAACCTTCCAAATTCAATTGTATAAAGCCATAGTGTATGTTGTCATGGCAATTTACTTGCTCTGAAAATAAACTTGGAAAATTGAGTTTCCTATAGACGTCCCTGATTAAGGTTTAGCAAAGTTATATTAGAAAAAAAGATGGAATTTTCACCACGTGTTCTTTATGTATTTTTTTAATTCTCTTAAACTTGTCCATTCTGGGCAGTTATAACCGACTGTTCTAGACGGTTGTATATTTTCAATACTTTCGGCGGCGTAGAACCGCTGACATTACCGAACTAATGAACTACATTCCAATTGTAAGGGAACTTTTTTTTTATTAAAAAAAAAAGACAGATGTGAATACTTTTCATAGCTCAAGTGAACTTTTCTTCGATTAGATTTGGTCCGTCTGTCTGTCCAGATGTCTATGTTTTTGTACATTTTTCACATTTTTTACTTCTCAAGAACACTGGATCAGTGTTTAGGGGGCCAAAATTGGCTCTTATCATATATAGTCCTTTGCCACAAAACATCCTTGGTTAAAGCAATGCAACTACTTGTCTGATCAAACAAATTGGCGTTGTCCTCTTTCCATAGATCATAAAAAAATAAGTGAAAAATTAAAGCATCTTTTAAAATTTCTCTTAAGAACCACTGGATCAGAAAATATTAATGAAACTTATAATTTAACTTCATTATATACTAGTTTAGATTCGAGTTTGTTAAGATCATAATTCCCAGGGTATGATGAAAGCACGATATAGGTATAGAAGTTTTACGTAAGAAGTAAATAAAAAAAAAAACATTTCTCAAGAACAGCAAGACCATGATTACTCATAAACTTATTTATATCGAAATGTCATATTGATTGTAATTTTTGATGAAAATTGTATTTTTTATGTTTTTTCTATACGTACATGTATACCAACCGGTAAAATCAAAAATTACAACATGACAGAAGTATTCTCTGATAATTTTTTTGGTAGAAACTTTCTCAAGAACCTCAAAGCCATGTATGGTAAGTCTTATATTTGGAAAAATCCTCGGGTAGACCGAGGTAGGGTAGATTCAAGTTCATGACACCTATAGGTAAGGCGGAGCCATAATATATGTTACGTTAAAAGGTTGTACATAGGAATATATACATGTATTGGGTGAAAATGAAAAAAAAAACCTTCTAAAGAACATCAAAGGCACGATTAGTAATATACCGGTATTCATATGGAAGCATCTAAGGTGTACATAGAAAATGCTGATTAAAACCAACAAGGGCAATACTGACTCAGGTGAGCGTGGTAGTCCATGGGTCTGTTGTTTTAATTTCCGAAAGATTAGAATGTCACTGATTCGGAAACCCACTGAGTAATAAAAGCTTTGGACATTTATGACAATGAACGAATTCACCGGCCATTCTAAGGATATTGAGATATGG